CACGTAATTGAAGAAGAAGATAATGCTGAACCTTTTGTTTCATTGATTGAGCTTATTCTATATATAATACATTGCATTGCTACAAGAAGAATCTAGATATTACAGCCGTTAGGTGGTTCCATAAATTATGGATCATGTTCGAATCTTTCAATAATAGAATGATGGTCCAATAATAGCAAGAAGAGACGGTTATGACAGCAAGGATAAGAGGCTGCTGAATCACCAATGATCTCTGCCAATGACCTGGAATGATGATGTGGAGCTGATGAGCTGAAGTTAATTCCTAACATGGAATAATGAGATTAGGCATTTCAATTTATATGAGAGAGACAGGGGGGAGGGGGGGGGGAGAGAGAGGGGAGGGGGGGGGGAGGGAAAGAGAGAGATAATGGGTGTCATATCATCTATGATTTATCATAATGATAAATAGTATTACTTGGATAAAATTTGTATTTCAAACTTCTGAACACTAGGAGGTAAAAAAGAGATGTAACTAGTGATATAAAGAACACTAACACTTGGATCAAAATAGCATTCTTCTAACAGAGTAGAATCAAACACTGAAGAGATAAATTGACAACAATAAAAAATGTTGAACCTGCTTAGATGGATTCCCGCCCTTGAAAGAGGGCAACAGGCCATGGTGGATATTTATTATATCCTTCCCGTAACTACTTAAGAAATTTCCAGAGAATATCTGCAGCAATCAACTGAATATTGTTCAAGTACAGTCACTGCAAATGTGTGATGTTAATGACATAGTTCTTTACAATAAAGTGGACAAGTACCAAATATCAGCATAACAAATTCTGCATGATAGTTCTGGAGTTTAAGCTTTTATAAAAAGGAAACTGGACAGACTCACTGGGAAATGCCACTTCTCCTGCTCATGGTGATGGATTGACTAGAAAGACCAGAACATTTTAAATATTCTATGTCATCTTAACTTTCTACTGCATTTATGTGCCATGTACAACACCCAACAATTGGAACATTTATTATATATAGAGTGCAAAATAAAGATATTAATATGTTCTATTATCTAATCAGTACATTTTAAAAAGGTTGTATTACATTTTTTGGCCCCATTTTCCATAAACTTGAAAGGAAAAAAAAAAATTCATTACTCCATAGCAGTTTACATGAGCCTCACATATGACCACATGTCTGCACAAACACAACCTCAAATTTAAGTTTGTTGTTGTTGAGCTCAAGAAACAGAACCCGCTACAAATAATTCAACTAAGAAGTAGACCAAATATCTAAGAATCCGGTTACCTGCATGTATCTGGCAAGTACTAGAAAATCTGTATCCCGAACCAAATTCAAGATCTCTTCTTCTCTTTTGTTTTCTATAGTTGTGTGCAGAAAATGGTAAGGAATTCTATGCCTTTCAAGAAACCTCATCACATGAGTATTCAGACCTCTGTCATGATTGCTGTTGGACACGTACTTAACAGTTAACACTGTGAACAGCCGTCCCGTCCCTAAAGCCAAATAAAATTAAACAAAATTCTGGTACTCCAGTGTTACCTTATTATGGCGGTGATTTGAACTGGAAGTTTTCCATCCTGCCAACTATGCAACAAATCAACAAGGCAGTGGTCCTGCACCAAATATTAATAGCTTCAGTAAATGGAAAAACAACATATTTTGCAGAGTCCTACAACATTTAGCTAAGCAATCGAGTACAGGTTATGAATAATTTACCTGGTTTGAAGCAAGGACTGCAATCTTATATTTGGGATCTAGGCTGGGTACCCGAACAACTGATCTCATGGCATCGAATATCTTTGATAGCTTTAGAAAATCCTCATCCATTTGCATCCGTGTCCATTTAAGAGGATCAAAGACTTTAAGTGACTTTAAACATTCGGAAGCTGTAAGTAACAAGGTAAACTGGATGCATGCAAATCACATCAAACTGACAGCATATTAAACACTTAAAATCTAGCAGATAATAAAGAATATCTCCCCAACTTTTGTTTGGGAAAAATGGTGATATATTATGATTCGGTATATATATTTGAAAGAAGTACTTATCAAATAAAATCTATAGCAGCATTCTGTCCTTCATGTACCTTAACAAATTATATGATACCTTATGATCATTACTCCTAATTACTTGGACTTGGCCATGCACGAGCATCGTCGTACCTTTTTTGACTTCTTTAACTATCCTGCCCTTTGCTTAGCTACCTACCGTTAAACAATCCAAAGAAATAAAGAAAAAGAAGAGGAGGCTAAGGTTTCATTGATTCTACACAATGCAATTAAATACAAAAGGATAATTTAACCTAGATATAAAGAGACTATATATAAGCTAAACAAAGGAAACTGAAAAAACCATCATACCTTAAAAAACAATAAAACAAAAAAACTCTATATTTCTTAACATCTCCTCTCAAACTCACGATGCCGCAGCTACAAGCGTCGAGAGTTTGCCAACTAGAAAACGAAAATGGGAAATAGAATGCGATTTGGTAAAGAAATCTGCAAGCTACAAAGAAGAGAAAACAAAGGGCAAAGTAATTGTGCCATACTTGAGATGATGACGAATAAGGTGACAATCGATCTCAATGTGCTTAGTTCGTTCATGAAAAATCGAGTTGTGAGCATCTGAATAGAACTCTGGTTATCACAATATATAGGAGTGGGATGAGAAGGAAAAACTTACATATCTGCAAGTAACCAACTTAACCAAACAATCTCTTTGG